CCCACACATGGCACAGCCGGTGAGGGGGTGCAGGACCGATTGAAGCTTGGGAAACTTATAACTAAAATAACAGTCTCAGCCCCCAAGTTCTTTGTGAAAAGGTGCTTAACACATTTTGTACATTTCTCCAAGGGGCCCCAAATGTGAATTTATAAAGCCTGTTTCTTTGCTCCTTTGTGGGTTGTTTCTGAGAATGGGGGCTTTGGGAATGGTCACTGCTGTGCTTTGTTTCTCCTACCCCCTGTTCATGTCTCCGTAATGCTGCATGCTTGTACCAAAGAATATTACTGGCTTGGGGGTCACGGGAGGTGGGGGCTGCGTACACGGCAGAATGGAGGACGTGATGGCTCCGTCATGCTGTCTGTGTTGTGGACCCTTGTGATGGTAAGGGGTGAGCACTTGACAATGAGTCCAGCTGACCAGGTGGTCTTCCCAGAATCTTTCTGATACCCACCTTCCTAAACCTGTGCCTTGGTTTCCCCATTAGTCTAACACGGATGATACGATCTGCCACTTCCTCGATTCAGAGAAAAATTAGCAGCGGCCCTTTGAGGTTTCCAGAAAAAAGTGCCATTTCCTGGGAAGGTGCTAGCTGGCTCCTTTTCTTGCCGGCAGGGATCAGCTGCTACTAAAAGGCGTCAATTTTGCTGCGATCAGAGAACAGGCTGCAGAGAGAGCAAAATAATAGTCATGGCAGGTATGTCAGAAATGTAGCGCTCGTTTTCCAGAATTTCTGTGGTGAAGCCCCATCCCTCCCACCCTAAGGCAGTCAGTTCTGGGCTTCTTTTCTCTTCCCCCTGAGGGTGGGCTTATTTTGGGGGATGTGTGGGGCTTGGTCCTCAGCTCCCCAAGCGGCCCCCCACTCCTGAGATACCCCTCGAGGACGTGACCTGCTGACCCATTTTATGGCCCATTTCCCTGGTCACCCCGGGGCCCCTCTTGGGTGCTCTGGAATTCATTCTGGGGTGGCTGCATGGCTTCAGGTGCGGAAAACCTGTGGGCTTCCTCCATCCCGTCCTGGCTGGACGCGTGCCGTGGGCTGCTGCTGCTCTGTGGCCTGGGGCTGCCCAGATGGCCCTGGGGGACTGGGTCCAGGTCACCTCTCCACCTGACTCTTCGCTGAAGCCACAGCTGGAGAGCCTCCTCTCCTCCCACCTCCTCCCAGCCCAGGGGCGGTTATAACCTGAGGACTGGGAACACTGGCCCGTCCTCCTCAAATTTCTTTAGGGTTTAGGCTTTAGAATTCAGAAGTCCTTATTCTGTTTCTCCCACAGCAGCGCCAACAGCTGGCCTGCCCGTCTATCTCCCCCTGCACTTATCATTTTGAAGCCAGCTGTGGGCAGCATTGCTATGCCTGGTGGCTTTCTGGGGCCACCAGAGCCAGCTCAGTACGTCCACTCGGCCAGCTGGACCTGCCAGCATACTGTTGCTCTCAGGAGTGGCCCTCGGTGCTTGGCAACTCCCTTGCCCCTGCGCGGGGTAGCAGAGGTCTGTGTTCTAGTCCGTCTCTCAGTGTCCCCAGCCCCACGAAGCTCCAGCTGCCCACAGTGAGGAAGCGCTGCTGTCACCCGGCCTTCCCGCTCCCCTGCGAGTGTTTCTCGGAGTCACTTTCCAAATGAAATCCTTGCAACAGCATCCTTTTCTTGGGAACCCAACCTGAGCAGCATCCCTTCCCAGAGGCAGTGAGGAGATCCTGCTCGTGGGGGGAGAGGCGGGTGGGAGGAAGGAGCGGCCAGGGGGAGGAATCACTAGCTCATAGTTCAAAATATTATGGCAAATGGCTGAACACTCAAATAAGGTGAACTCAAGTGACTCCGTGCCTGGCACCGCCCTCAGTGCTTTTACGCACATGGTTTCATCTGATCGTCCGGTAGTTCTGCCCAAGTGACCTGTCCTGAGGGCCGAGGGAACTGGGTCTCAGGGAGAGACCAGCAAACCAGGTAAGCAGGGCCAGGAACTCAGGTCTGACGGTTCCCTTGGGGAGCGTCTTGAAATTCCTCAGCTAGTAGAAAGGACTCAGCGCCTTGAGGTCAGCCGTTGTCTTCCACTTACATCAGCACCAAGGCATCCTAGTGGCTACCTGCTAGTCTCTAAAGATGTCTGTCTTTAAATCGTTCCTTAAATAACTATGAGCTCTCAAATGTTTCGAGGCAGGTGGCATTGTTTTGTGAGATCCATAACGTTAGATTTGTGAGTAGCAGAGAATGGGAGAGATGGTCTTACGATGAAAAAAAAAAAAAAGAACTGACTTGTAGCATTCGCCCATTTCCATGGTGTAAATACTCCCACCATGGCCAGTTTCAAGCTGTGATCATGACGTTACTGAACCCAAAATTGGGAAGAGGCGGGATGTGGGGTGAGCTGGTATTTATTACATTATACCAATGCCACCCGCGTAAATAACCTCAAGAACACTGAGAATGGTAAGGTGTAATAAAATAATTAGTAAGTGATGAGTTTGGAGTATTCAGTACCTTTTTTCCTGAGGTAAAATCCACACATTAAATTGACCATTTTAACTATTTAACATGTACAATTAAGCGGCATTTAGTACATTCATAATGTGCCACCACAACTTCTATCTAGTCCCAGAACATTTTCAGGACCCCTCAAGGAAGCCTTGTACCCAGTTAAGCAGCATTCCTTATTCTATCTCTCTACCCCTCGTAACCAACTATACTTTGTTTTCTGTGTCTATAGACACAGAAATTTGCCTATCTGGGTATTTCATATAAATGGGATAATACAAACGTGGCCCTTTGAGTCTGGCTTCTTTCACTTAACATAATTTTTTCTTGGTTCATCCACATCATAGCATGTTTTTAAGGTTTATTCCTTTTTATGGCTGAATAATATCCCATTATATGGATAGATCACAATTTGTTTATCCATTCATCAGATGATGGGCATTTGTGTTGCTTCCACATTTGGCGATTGGGAATTGTGCTGCTATAAACATTCACATATGCGTTTTTATCTGAAAACCTATTTTCAATTCTTTTGGTATTTTCAATTCCAGAAGTGGAATTGCTGGGTCATATGGCAGTTCTATGTTTAACTTTTGGAGTAACTGCCAAACTGCTTTCCACCATTTTCTGTTCCCACCAGCAGCGTGTAAGTGTGCCAATTTCTCCACATCCTCACCAACACTTACTTCCAGTTTGTTATTATTATAATACCATAGTCTTGCTCATTGGTGTAAAGTCATATCTCATAGTGTTTTTCAGTTACATTTTCCTAATGACTAATGATAGTGAGCATCTTTACCTGTGCTTTTGGCCATTTGTATATCTTCCTTGGAGAAGTGTCTACTCAAGTCCTCTGCTCATTTTTAAATTGAGTTGCTTGTCTTTTTGTTATTGAGTTATAAAAGTTCTTTCATGTATTCTGGATATATCAGATGTACGATTTGCAAATATTTTTCACCCATTCTGTGGGTTGTCTTTTCACTTTCTTGGTGTGTCCTTTGGGGCACAAAAGTTTTTAATTTTGAGGAAGTCCAATTTATCTTTTTTTTGAATTGCTTATTCTTTTGGTGTCATCTCTAAGAAGTCATTGCAAAATCCAAAGTCATGACTATTTACTCCTATAATTTCTTCTAAGAGTTTCACAGTTTTAGCTCTTACATTTAGGTCTTGGATCAATTTTGAGTTTGATTTTTGTATATGGTGTGAGGTAGAGGTTGAAGTGCATTCTTTTGCATGTGATACCCAGTTGTAGTACCGTTTCTTTTAGTATAATTTATTGAATTGTAAGATTATATAATTTAACTTTTATTTATGGCGACCATGGTTAACAACCAGCTTGAGAAATTCCTGAGAATTTAACAATCAGCTCTTGTGAGCCACTGTGACCCAGTGGCATGAGTGGGTTCCAGCATGCCACTGCCTCCACCTTACCCTGCTGGGACAATTTTGTTGCTGAAGGCGGGAATTTGGGTTTATTTTCTTGAGGAGCAGAGCTGGGGGATAGTTGAAGTGTGCTTATGAAGACCCTGGAGGATAGGTGCTCAAGGGAGAAGGAGCTGGAGACCCGAACCCTGGAACCACGGGCCTATCTGGCATTTTCCCATCGTGTCTGGCTTTCCCTTTCGTTGTTTGAAGAGCATGGCTGGGTCTCCCTTGCTCCCTTGCTTAGCATTTGCCCAGGTGGTCCTCCTGGTTGAGAGGGAACCAATTGTGTCTCAGCTGGATGTGATGGGCTTTGAAAGCCCCACCTTTGAGCAGAGACCCAAGCCTGATCCTGAGGTTGAGGAAGTGCTCCTTTTTCTGGTGAGGTAAAATACAGAATTCTCGTCTCATTGGGATTTCAGGTGAATCAAGTGTAATTTTTTAATATAAGCAGGACACATGCAAGATTTGGGATGTATACTAAAGAACTGCATTGTTTATCTGAAATTCAAATTTTGTCAGAGTTGTGTATTTTCATTGGCTAGATCCTGTAAGCATCCCCTCTGATCAGCTTTCTTCCTTATTGCCTCATCCAACAGCAGAGACAGAACTGCAGAGTGGGAAGAGCCCCAGGGAGCTTCCATGCCCATTTTACAGATCCTGCAACTGAGTCCCAGATAAGGAAAGGGACTTGCCCCAAAGCATGGGGTCACTGCGGGCTTTGAGGACCTTTCTGAGCTACACAACTTTGCTTTTTCACGAAGCCAGCACATTTTCTGAGTGTGTCCTCTGGACAGGGCACTGTGCTGGGTGTCAGGGGGTGACAGCGACAAGCCTGTCATGGAGCCCTGTGGAGGGCAAGAATCAAGAGTTCCCTTTGAACATGTTAAATAAGAGACAGGATTCACCAGGCCTTTGTTGCCACGTTTCAGCTGCATGACAGGTCCCTTCGGCTGCAAGCCTCAGTTCCCCTTTCCTCACATGGGGATGAGAGTACTTTTCTTGGGGGACTCTTGTCAGGCTTCCGCAGGGTGATGAGCTGCCTGGTGGGAAGCAGGGGAGAGTGTGCTCTGTGATAAGAAGACAGGTAAAGTTTGGTTTTGTCCGCAGGTAACCCGGCCTCCTGGGTCATCCAGATGATGTGGGATGGAGGTGCCAGAACTCACCTGCCTTGCCTCACCTGCCAGGGACCAGCCAGCTCCTGCTCCCGGACCCTCAGGGACCCCCGGTGGACAGGCCCTGCCTCGCCTGACCCTGGGCCCTGTCATTCTGCCGCCGGAGCAGGGCCTGGCCCCTGCCGTGTTCCTGAAGGCCCTGCCCATCCCCCTGTACCACACAGTGCCTCCCGGGGGCCTCCAGCCGCGTGCCCCCCTAGTGACGGGCAGCGTGGATGGGGGCGGCGTGCCTTTCATTCTCAGTCCCGTGCTGCAGCCTGAAGGACCTGGCCCTTCCCGGGTCGGGAAGCCGGCAGCCCCCCTGCTCACCGTGAACATCGTGGGTGCTCTGCCTGTCCTGTCACCGGGCCTGGCTGCCCCCCTGGGCAGTCCAGGGAAGGTGCGCAGCTCTGGCAAGCACCTTTGCCCACACTGTGGCCGGGACTGCCTGAAGCCCAGCGTCTTGGAGAAACACATCCGGTCCCACACGGGGGAGAGGCCCTTCCCATGTGCCAGCTGTGGCATCGCTTTTAAGACGCAGAGCAACCTGTACAAGCACAGACGCACCCAGACGCATCTCAACAACTCTCGGCTGCCCTCGGAGTCTGATGGCACTGGGGGCAGCCTCCCGGAGGAGGGGGACAAGGCTGGGAAGACCTCCAGAGGCGCTGGCAAGGGCGACAGCTGGAGCCAGAGTGGGAGTGATGGGGCCAGATCAGAGAAACCCCTTTCTCCAGGCCGGCAGGGCACTGGGCACTGCCCGGAGCCCCCTGCCCATGTGTGCCCGCTTGCCAAGAACCTGGACCTGAGGCTGGAGACTGTTCCCTGTCCAGGGTCTGCATTCGCTGACAGGGAGGCCCCCCTGGACTCTACCTGGACGGCTTCCCCTGGGCTCCCCCAGGCCGGCCCGCAGCCCAGGCGTAAGCTGCCGGAGCAGAAGTCTCCGCCGGCCGGCAGGTCGTGCTCTCTGCAGCAGCAGCAGACGACGTCCTCGGAGAAGCCCTGGGATGCCAAGGCGTTGGAGGGCCGGCTGAGAAAGTGCGAGAGCACCGACTCAGGCTACCTGTCCCGATCAGACAGCGTGGAGCAGCCGCTGGCCCCCTGCAGCCCCCTGCACAGCCTGTCAGAGCACAGTGCTGAGTCCGAGGGGGAAGGGGTCCCGGGGCCTGGGGGCGCCAGGGCCGAGCCGGGAGGGCGGGGGGCCAGCCTGGAGCTGGAGAAGAGGCAGCTGGAGGAGCGGATTGCCAGGCTCATCTCACACAACCAGGCCGTGGTGGACGACCCCCAGCTAGACAACGTGCGGCCTCGTAAGACCATCCTGTCCAAGCAGGGCAGCATTGACCTCCCCATGCCCTACACCTACAAGGACTCCTTCCACTTTGAGATCCGGGCGCTGGAGCCCGGCCGGAGGAGGCGGGGGGCGCTCTGCTCCACCCGCTCAACCTGCACCCCCCCGGACAAGGCCCGGCCCCTGTTCTTTCACTCCGTCCCCACTCAGCTCTCCACCACCGTGGAGTGCATTCCTGTCACCAGGAGCAACTCGCTGCCCTTCGTTGAGGACACCAGGATGTGGCAGGAGCCCTCAGGCCCCCAGGACACCTGCCCCAGGAGGCAGAAGGCTCTGAGCCCCAGGCCCATCCCTGCCCGACTGGTAGATGTCCCCAGCTGTCACCCCCGGGCCCTGGTCAGACAGGCTGCAGTGGAGGACTTGCTGTGCCCCCCCATCGGAGATGCCGCCGCCCCTGCAGAGGACCTAGAGGGAAACAGAGCTGCTGTCGGGGGTGGTGCAGCCTGCAAGGGCAGAGCGGCCAGTAGGAAATGCAGCCAGAGGAAGCTGAAGATGTTTCCCCAGGAGAAGTGGCAAGTGTACGGGAAGGAGACGTTCAAGAGAATCTACCAGAAGATGAAAGCCGGCCACCGGGGAGGCAAGAAGGCGAGGGAGGCCAGAGTGGGCAGTGGGACAGAGCTGGACTGTCCTCTTCAGGAAGAGGCAGATGGGTGCCAGGGCAGAGCCCCGTTGCAGGACGGGAGGACCCTTGTCTGTGGGGACACTTCTGTGGGGGCCAAGCCAGGGCCTTGGAGAAGTCCGCCAGCCATGGAGACCTTGGTGACTGAGCCTCCCAACCAGGGGGAGACGGTGGCCAGAGCAGGAGGCAGTGACCAGCCCAGGGTGAACAGGGCTGTGTCACCCCCAACCATAAACTGCAGAGAACCCCTCTTTTTGGGCAGTGAGAGCCCTTTGCTTCCTCCAAACGGGAGGCTGGAATTGGGGTGTCAGCTGTCCCCAGTACCTGGTCCCCTCAAAGGAAAGGACCTAGAGGCTCCCAGGCCAGTTTTGCCAGACCCCAAGCTGGACGGAGGAGGCGCCTGCGGTGGTGGGGGTATGAAGGACACCTGTCAGCGGGTCCAAACCGTCCTGAGACGGCCCAGCGGCAGCTCTGGGGAGCCCCAGCCCAAGGAGGACAAGCTCCCCTCAGAGAGGAAGAAGCTGAGGGTGGAGGAGCTGAGCTGCCAGGAGCAGCTGGGGCCTCTGGGAGAGGGAGGTGAGCCCCCAGGGGGCCCCGAGCAGGCCGCCTCCCCACTATCTTGGAACCAGGACAGTGACGCTGGGGACAAGCCAGGGGGGCTGCACGGGAGTGCTGACGGCATGGCGACAGCCAGGGACAGGCCTGCGGAGGGCTCTGGCGCTTCTTCCGCTGCTTCTTCCGTGTCCCTGAGGCCAGTGGGGCCGAGGGACAAGGAGCTCACACTGTGTCCTACAGCCGTAGTCCCCGGATGCCACGCCCAGCTGGCAACCCCGCCTCGGGCGCCCAGCGTCCTCGCCGCCACGTCAGACACTGCCTTCCCCCCCAAGTACCTCCTCAAGTTACCTCAGGGAGAAACCCACCTCCTACGACCTGGCGCCCAGGGTCCAGGCCAAGGCCAGGACCCTCTCTGCGGGAGCGGGCAGCCCGAGAAACTGGCCTCTTTTGTTGGGTCAGGGCTGGGGACCCTCCTGCCTCCGGGCCCAGCCTCAGGCCTGGCCCCAGGTAGAGCAGACAGCTACGGGGAGGACCCCAGCTGGTCCAAGCTGTGGGACAGGAGAAAGGGGGTGCAAGGAGATGAGAAAAGAGACTTGGACACCAGCACCCCAGCAGCTGGGGTGTCTCTGGGCTCAGCCACTGGGGCCCTCAGGGAGACGGCCTCTTTCCTGCGCACCCTGACCGGTGACTCCCGGAGGAGAGAGACCCATGACAGTGGAAGCCCCTGCATGGGTGGCGCTGGGGCAAGGGCCCGGCCCTCTGGTGGTGTCCCAAGTCCCTGGACACCCAGCAGAGAGATGGGAAAACCTCCTGAGAATGCCCCACGAGAGCGTCCCTCAGGGCCCCCTCCCCCAGCGCTCAGCACCTGCTGCTCCCTCTCGGCCCTCACGCCCCCAGGCTGGCCTGAGCTGGCCTGGTGCACCCGCTCAGAGACTCCTGGGAGCTGCGGGGCCCGGGGCCCCTTCCCCTCGCTGAGGGCCAAGCCCCGGCTCACGTGGTGTTGCTTGAACCGTAGCCTCCCGCTGCCCATGGAGCAGAAGGAGGCCACTTCTGTGTACTTGGCATTGCACTTCCCTGGTGGCAGCTCCCCAGATGAGGGTCCGGACACCCGGCCGGTGAGCAAGGCGATGTCTGGAGGACGGACCAGGACAAGCCCCAGCGAAGGACGGCAGGCACACATGTCAAAGGTAACGCTTAGCTTTGTCCCCGGGCCCCAGAGCTGAGGGAGCAAGCTCATGATGGAGAGAAAGCGTGAAGCCATCCCTGGAGCCTCTGCTGTTAGAAGGCCTTCCCAGCCTTTTCCAGAGGGAAGTTGAGGCTACCACATATAGGGCAGAGAGAATCGAGGCCAATAATGCAGAACAAAAGAAAATTATGACAAGATAAATGTCGAAGGAAAGAATTATTGTACCCAAGACTCTGGCTGAGGTCATTTTTATAAGTAGACATAAAATTTAACTCTGAGCTTCCTGGTAGCAGAGGCAAAAAGTGAAAGGAAGTGTTGCCCAGGAGAGAGTCTGGGCCATCTAAGATTATTAACCAGAAACTCTTGTTGGGAGATAGACTCTAGGCAAAAACCCATCTTTTTAAAAAAGATTTTATTCTGGAATTGGGGTGAGGGAACAGCATTGGGGAATCAGGGGAGGGAAACAGACAAGTTGCTGTCCTTTTGTTCTTCAGTCTAGTTGTAGAGGATGTCGCTTCACTGGCCCATGTTGGTATTATTATTGCGCTTTTCCTGGGAGAGGCATTCATTCGCCGGCTATTGGACGGCGGCTCACGGTAGCCGACTGCAGCCCCACTGCAGCCTACGCCGTCGCCAGCGACTCAAGGCAGCCCAGCTCCAGGTTGAGCTGTTGTTCACCATCTTAGCTGTAGAGGGCACAGCGTCACTGGCACTCATGTGGGATCCGAACCAGGGCCCTGCTGCTCAGAGCTGGCATCCCAAGCCAACTCCTAACCAACACGCCACTTGGCTGGCCCAAAAACCCATCTCTTAAAAGGAGAGAGTTATTGCACCAGGGATTCTGGAGAAATAATTACTATGATCAGATTCAACTTACCTCTGAGTTTCCTGGGAGAAGTGACCAAAAAGGGGAAGGCGTTGGGTTGCCTTGAGAGTTCTCACTTGGTGATTAAATGATAAGTTTCTAGTCCTATCTTGAGAGCAATTCCACGCACCTGGATTTTATAATTGAGGGCTGTTGTGCTGCTCTGGGATGTCTCAGGCCAGGGCAACTGGCAAGGTCCTGGAGCTTCAGTGCTAGTGTAAGTGCAGGGAACAATGACAGGGCCTGGACTCCAGAGCCTCGTGGGCTGTTCTTACCCCCAGGTGGGCGGAGCCTGAGGGAGTGGCAACGCTTCCTTCATCCTGAGAGCGGTGGGTTCATAACAAAGCTGTTGGGCCTGAGAGAGGGGGGATTCAAAGCCCAAGTTATCACTCCTTCCTCCAGAATGCAGTTAGGTACCAGGTGTTGGGGTTCCCAGAGGGAGAGCTGGGGACACTATCTTGCTCCCTAGGCCTGCAGTTAATATTCATACCGCAAGTCTGGGCTTTCCTCTGTGGATCCAGCCCAGGCAGCGTTCCAGAAGGTTCCTCCCAGGAATGTTTAGACCACTTGGCGATACAGCATTTCCATGCCTTGATTTCCCCAGATAGGCATCCTCTCTGCAGAGAGCAAACCCTTCTCTGTTGTTCCCACCTTGAGGGCTTGGAGCAATATGATACCAACATGCCTGCTATTTTCAGCTCTCCTGCCCAACAGCCCTGGGGACGACATCCCAGGACCGGGGGTCCGAGCCGGAATGGAAGAAAGGACCACCTCGGAGGAGGGGGAAGACACCCCACGGGAGCAGCAAGCAAAGGAAACTGAGCGTCAACTCCAGAAGGTAGGGTGTATGGCCGTCTCTGTCATCTCCACATGTGCCCGTAGTGTTGGGAACTGCAGCCTGCGGTTTCCCTAACACCCCAGGAAAAACCTCGCGTGGGATTCAAAAGGCATCTCTGTGCTCCAGAGAACAGGGCTGTTGTTCAGGACCAGGGTCTGGAGTTTCACGGGTGAAGAACTGAACTTGCTTCCCCGTCCGTCTGCCCCCCGTGTCCCCATTGCTGTGTAGTTTTCAACGGTGCCTTTCTAAGGCCAGGAATCCAGCAAATATTTGAAATAACCGAGTTGAAAACACATCCATCCAGTTTAAATCCTGAAGAGAGAGCGTGTTAATTATTTACAACTTTTATTGCTTTTTTAATTATGTAAGCGATGCATGTCCTTTGCAGAAAAATGAGAAAATACAGATGAGCAAAGACAAAGCAATAGAACATTCTGGCAACCTCACCACCAGGGATAACCACCGTTAACGTTTAGGTGGGTGCCCTTGCAGACATGTCTCTGATGTGTGTGCACATACTCTACCAGTGACCAATTGGGGGGAACACATGGATTTTAATACCACTCCTTCATCGTGTCATTCTTTCACTGTCTTACTCGTTTGCTCAAAACCCCTCAGGCTGCCCGCTGGGTACAAGTCCTAAATCGAATCCTGTAACCAGCCCCTGCCCCTGTTGGCCCCTCATGAAGCTTTTCGGCCTTGTTCACCCACAATCCCCTCCTCTCCACTGAGTGTGACTTGAAGCTGTCTTGGCCGGCCTCCTTTCCGTTCTCTAATCACACTCTGAGCCCAGATCCCTGATGCTTTTCTGCCTTTCCCCTCATGCCTTGGCTCCTAGCAGTCTCCCCTTCCTGGAATGCTCTTAGCGCCCCCCCCCCCGCGCCCCCATCCTCTACTGTCAATATTTGATCCAAAGTCTAGCTATTCTTCAAGAGGCAATGCAAATTTCTAGTTCTTCCCTACCGCTATTCAGGCCCTCTTCTGAGGACCCTGACAACATTCCACATTTCTGCCAGGACCAGGTGACCAGAGCAAGCATCACTGAGGGCTGCTCTGTGCCGGGCTCTGTACAATCACTTCCCATTTTTTCTTATGAGAAAACTGAGACTTGGAGAGGTCAGGTGAGCTCACCAAGGACCCAGATTTGAGCCAGCAAGTTTTACTCCAGAGCCCGTATGCCAGATGGTAGATTGTCCCAGGCTCCCCAGCCCGCAACAGGCACAAAAGTCACCTGGAGTTTTCTAGAGTTTTCCTTGTGATGCCTTCAGGGGTGGGGCCTGCGATTCTGCCTTTCTAACTCGTTCCCTGGTGATACTGAGTTTGCTGGACCAGGTTGCATCCTGGAGGAACAATACTTTGCTCTGCCCCAAAACACGCCTTGTGCTTTGCAACTCCCATCTCTCTCCCCCAATCTTCTTCCTCTCCTTGCATCTAGGGACCACGTGGTAGATTGTGCTCACCCCAATAACCTCATCTTCTTGCTGTACCCTCAGTCACACCTGCACGGTTTTTTGTGCCATGGAAGGTGACATACACACAGGCAGGCTCGGAAGGTTAGGGTCTGGATGTCATTCTTCTGCCTACCACACTATCTATCCATCCACCCACATGGATGATTTTATATATGCGTGTCTCAGTTTATGTCTCAGTTTATATATACATCCACCTACCCACTCACATGTGTACAGACGCATCCCTGTCTGTCATCTATCAACGCGTGTGTTCTCTCCTCAAGAAAGAAGCCTGTTTTGTTTTTTTTATTCACTTCCCCATTTCACTTCAGTTGTCTTAATGTTCTACAGAAAATGAAATACTGCAGCAGAGATTCACCTCAAGGCCTTAACTCACAGAGAATGAATGCTAAAATCCATGTATCAGAGTATCTGCTCTCTTTTTTTTTTAATATTTAAAAATGCAAGAAAGCTCAGAAAATATATAACAGACTCCTGGGTAATGATCAAGAATAAACAAATGTGAACATGTTATATTTGCTTCTCAACCTTTAAAAAAATATTACTTTATATATTATACATTATATAAAACAAAATAAATGAAGCCAAAAAGGTAATTATATAGCTTTATGTATTTGGCACTAATTGTTTCAACCGCTGTTTTCGTACTTTGAAAATCAATGTATCCACTAATAATATATATTGGTTTGTGTCTTTAAAATATATATAAATATTATTCTAAATTTATTGTTCCTCAGTTTGATTTTTAAACTCAATATTGTGTTTTTGAAGATCTAACCATGTGATGTACAGGTCAAATTCATTATCTTTATTGCTATAGAGTGTTCCAGCCCATGAATATAACACATTTTATTTTCTATTGCCCTATTTATGACATTTAAATTGTTTCCAAATTTTTATTTTTTTTTTTGCTAACTTGGCAATGAGCATGCTTACACATGCCTCCTTAGGCACAATGCAAGAGGTATTTTAAGAAATATACCTATTTAAGAAATACACCATTTCTTAAAATGGAATTGCTGCATTATAAGATAATCACATTTCCAACTTGACAAGTTAGCAGCCAGTCCCTCCCCATAGGGCTTTATCATTTTACATTTTCTCCGGCGGTGAGAGTCTGCCCTGCTCCCATATTCCTACTAACGTTTGTTATTAGTAGATTTTTAATGTTTTGCTCATCCAGAATTTGTAGGATTCTGCCTGTTCTAGATTTGTATATATTCTTTGCCTGTTATATCGGGTTGCCGGAAAAGTCATGATGTATTTTTATATGTTTTTTGTTGCAAAAATGAGTCATGACTTTTCCGACAACCCAATAGATATTGCAAATAGTTTCCCAAGTGTGTTACTTGTCTTTTAAGCCCATTCATTTACATTTACCCACAACGTTGCACATGTCTTGCCTCTTCCTTCTTTTTTCCAGATCAGACCTTCCTTCCGGGGTTGTGTTCTTCTGTCTGAAGCATGTCCTTTAGAATTTCCTTTAGAGACAAAAAATGGCGTTTTTATGAGTCTGAAAGTCCATTTATTTCTTTGTTTTCTTCCAAACTATCCTTGTGGAAAAACATTTCTACTGAGTATAAAATCCTAGGTTGACAGTTATTTTGTCTCAGTGCATAAAGCTATTATTGCCATAGCCTTTGGCTTCTGTTTTGCAGTGGAGGAGTCAGCTATTAAGTCTACTTATCTGTCTTTTGAAAGTCTTTTTATCTCTGGCTACGTTTAAGATCTTCTTTTAATCTTCGGTGTTCCATACTTCCACTTTGATGTATGTAGGTACATGAGACTTTTATTTATTTCGTTAAGAATCCACGGGGCTTCTATGACTGTGGATTGATGTCTACCTAGAAATTTCTCAGCCATCATTCTTCAGATGTTGCCTCTGCCCCATCCTCTGTCCTCTCATTCCGGAATGCTGAAATAATGTATCCTAGACGGTCTCTGTCTTTCATGCCTCTTCACCTCTACTTTCAATAACTTTGTGCTGTCATCTAGATACTTGGTTCAGATCCATCTTTAACAATTTACTAATTTTTCTTATTTTTTTGAAAAGCTCTGTTGAGGGATATCGAATTTCCATGTTATGCATTTAAAAAGTATACAATTCTGTAAATGCTGACACATGTACACACTTGCGAAAGCAACAACACAAGATAACGAATGCAGCCATAATGCCCAGTTTCTCTGTGCCGCTTTGTAGCTCCTGCTTCCTGCCCACCCTACTGCCCTCCTGTCTCCAGGGAACCATTGATATGCTTTGTATCACTGCAGATTAGTTCACTTTTCCTTGAATTTTATAGAAATGGAATCCTACAATATGTGTGCTGGTGTTGTTGTTTGTTTGTTTGTTTGTTTGGGCCTGGCTGTTTTTCTCACTCAGCACGACTATTTTGAGGTTGATCCATGTTGTTGTGTGTATGAAAAATTATATCCTTTTTATTGCTAATTAGGATGGCTATATTCACAATTTTTTTCTATATTCACTTGTTGGTAGACATTTGGTTTGTTTCAGTTTAGGGTGATTACAAATAAAAACGACTATACATATTTATCTGTAGGCCAAATGATCAATGAAACAAAATAAAGAATACAGAAATAGGCCACATGTATATGGCCAGTTGATTTTTGACAAAGGTTCAAAGGAAATTTAGTAGAGAAAGTACTGTCTTAAATAAATGGTGCTGGACCTGGAAAATTTCTCTGCTAGTAAGCTGAGGCAACCCCAAAACTTACCTCATTTGTTTCTCTTCTCTCAGGAATCACTGCTTTCAATGCTTAATACACTGTCCAGTTTTTGTTTTTGGTTTTTGAATTTGAGAGGGTAAACCTTGTTACTGTTACACCATCTTGGCTGGAAAAAGTCCCTGGGCTATTGCAACGGCCTCTGAATTGCCCCACCTTTCCTGCATTTATTGATCTGTTGAGTTTTACATTTAATTGTTAATGTAGATTATGTTTTATTTCCAAAAGGTTCCATTTAATTATTTTCAAATATGCTTTGTCATTTTTATAGTCCCTTGCTCTTTACTCATCTTTTCTCTTTGTTTATTGAGTTATGATTGACTTACATAAAAGCTGTACATATGCCACATATACATCTCGATGAGTTTGAAGATAAGTGTACAGGTGTATAACCATCACCACATACACTGTCCTAAACTTATCTGTCATCTCTAGAATTTTCTTTCCTTCTTTTTTCTTTTGATAAGAACATTTGACATAAGATCTAGCCTCTTAGAAATTTAAGTATATGCCATAGTATTGTTAAGTATGTACACTGTTGTGTACAGTTGATCTCTGGGATTAATTCATTTTTGCGTAAGTGAAGCTTTGTACCCTTTGATCAACACCCTCTTTATTCCCCATCCCTCTAGTCCCTGGTAACCCCTGTTTTTATGAGATTGACTATGTTAGATTCCTGATATAAGTAAGACCATGTAGCATTTGTCCTTCTGTACCTGGCTTATTTCATTTAGCATAATGTCTTCCAACTTCATCCACGTTGTACCAAATGGTAATGTTTTCTTT